AGGCCAGGGACTAATGAGAGTATTTAGAAAATTGGGCAGACTAGATGGGCCGAATGGTTCTTTCTGCCGTCACATTTTATGTTTCTATGTTACAAGCTGACTATAATAGCTGCCCATATTAGCAGACTACGACTGCAGTTTATTTGTCCTCCTATAGCCATTCAAATCTCTGATGGGGTTTTACCTCCTTCTTGAGGCCGCATTTGCTGGCCAACCAACTGCTGCTTTATCTCTTCCTGTCCCTGCCTATAAAAATGAAGTGTCCCAGCTAGGATTCCACCCGGCTGCCACCTTCAAGTCAATCTCTGACTTTGCAGCCAGTCCCTTGGAGACATATAACACATAAGCATTGTAAAAATAAGCTGTTTTTAACAATTCATGGGTTGGTTCTCAGATAAATGTAGTGGGTCAAAGGTAGGCTTTAAATGGTTGTCAGAGTAGGCGGGGTAGGACTTGTAGGTTTGTGGCCAAGTTAATGTGGTGGATGACTGACAGGAAGGTCATAAGAGAGATGGCAAGATTAATGGGTGCACATGAGATGACTGAGGGCAAGGGTTTTTATATAAATGGCAGGAGAATTAAAGGGGCACCATATGCAGTAAAACCACTATAGCATATTATATATATATATATATATATATTGGAATATGAACTGAGAAGATAGGGATGGTCTGATATTCATTCGTGCAGATCATAATCTTAGAGCAAATACAGAACAGGGTTTATTCTGGTATGAAGTGGACATTGAAGTGTGTTTCCAAATCAAATTCCTTTTGATTCACATCTAGTTGAATCAATCAATTCAACGAATACAACTTCACAGGCAAATGCTGGACAATCAATTAGTTAGGGCTTGGATTAAAAAGTATTTGATGTGGACAAATCATCTGAAATGAAGTTTTGCACATAGCTCGTATTTACTCCATTGTAAGAATTCTATCTATATCATGCTTTAAAAAAATGTCCTCAATCCACCAGGAATTCTAGCTTGTAAGTGCATCCGAGCCCTCTTTCCCTAACTTACAATGTTTTCCAGAATTAAATTATGCCTTTACTGGTAATATAATGTTTAATTCAAAAGTATCTGTATTTCTGCGTTGCTTTATCCTTAAAACAAATATAAATGTTTAACATGAATTGTATATGGTTTTATTTAATACATTGATCTACAATTCATTTTATGTAGGAAATATATGCAGAACCTTCAAATGAGTATCAGGTGGCACCTAGCTTGGAGGTATCCTAGTCAATGTGCCTTTTTGTAACTGCTTGAAGTAAATGATATGTGGTGTGTTTAGAGGAGGTTTTTTACCTTATGATGGACTTGTGAATATCAGCCTGTGCAGGAAATGCTTTCAGTTCATTGATCATCAATCAGGGATTCAATGTGACTTCCTGGAGTGGTATATTCTTTGATTTTTGAGTGCCTTGAGTTGAGTGGCCATTCTTTGGAAGGTAATAATGGTCTTGAGTTTCCTCCACTAAGCACTTGTGTGATCTGGATTTATGGAGGGCAGATGTCTCTAGAAATGGTTTTGTAACAATCTTTTCAACATTGTTAATTCTTAGTTTTTTTCCGAAACACCGAGAATGTTTGGATAATGTGTCAAATAGATACATAGATTAGTTGATTTGTGTTGTTCAGCTATATTAGCTGTTAGATGTCCCTTCATGAAGAACAGAACACATATATATATATATTTATGACGTAACTTGTTTGTCACTTAAATTGTATGTTCCTAATTTCAAAACGTATATCTTTTTATATTGTGTAAAGATGGTGACGCAAGTCAGATGACCGCATGCATATCCTAGTATAGCAACACTTCATGATTGCCCATGGATGCTCTATAATACAGCAGAGACGTGGTTGCAAGACCACATACATGAATCCTGTGTTCTAGGACAGCAAGGGGTTACAGTGTCAGTATGCTACTACGGAATATATGAGAATAAAGAGATTAGGCACAGATGTCCCCAGCTGTGAAAAAGTCTATGAGGGTGAAATAAATACACACTGCCCCCAGAGAAAGATGACAGGACATGTGGGCTGTGGGAAAACAAGGAAATTGGGATAAATCATCTGGGGTGGAGTCATACAGAGATAAAAGTAAATGTATATTCTAGTCATAACCCTTACAAGACAAGACAAATAATAGTTGCATGGATGCCTAGATACAACACCAACATAGGGTGAACTGTAGATAGTGCATTCACATTCATGTAAGACACTTCATTTTCCACTGTGTTAAACCATCCCAGGTAATTTTCTAAACAGGAAATCAATGTAAACAGGACATTCTCCGGCAAATATTTGGATTACGTGGGGGATTCATTTGTACACTAGGGATTTAACCCCTTAAGGACACATGACATGTCATGATTCCCTTTTATTCCAGAAGTTTGGTCCTTAAGGGGTTAATTAACAGTCCACTCTGAGGAGACTGTAAAAAGGAGGGATACTTGTCCAGAAAGTTAATTACAATTCCAAATATGCAAACAAGAAAAGGGGATTACTGACCCAAATTAGAATTGAAATATATTATAATAGCTCATATAAGAAAATAGCAATCGATATTAGTACTAAAATTAAACACAACTTACACCTGGACTACATTTTACAGGTTAATAAAACACAAGGAAACATACAGAGCACATCATAGAGAAAGGTTCTCTGTTATTATGAGTAGACATGAGCGAACCCGAACTGTAAGTTCGGGTTCGTACCGAACATTATGATTTTTGGACCCTGAACCCGGACATTTCATTAACAGTTCGGGTTCGAGTTCGGTGTTCGGCGATTTAATGGTGCATTTTGAAAAGCTGCAGGGCAGCCAATCAACAAGCGTTTGACTCGTGTGCCCTTAGAAGCCATCACAGCCATGCCTACTAATGGCATGGCTGTGATTGGCCAGTGCAGCATGTGACCCAGCCTCTATATAAGCTGAAGTCACATGAGTACTTATTAGTGTAGGGAGAGGATGCTGCAGCTATGAGGGACAGATTAGGAATGAAACCACGGAGCAACGCAGGGAGGAGTGGGCCTTGACAGAGCCAGGAGTAGGCAGGTGAAGTTCAGGTCAAGAGGCTGTCCTGTGGTTGTGCTAGGGGACGTGGGTTTCGAAGGGAAGTTAAATAGCGGCCATTTTAGGGTAAGTTCATTCTAATTTGAGCCTTTCTTACCTGTAAATTGTCCCTCCCACCCACCCTATGAGTTGGTAGTAGTTCCCGTTTGGTCACAGCGGCGGGAAAAGGTCTTGGTTAAACTGGAATTTTGCTGGGTTAAGAAATTGGTAGGCCAAGGTCTAGGCTGGAGTAGGCCGGAAGTTAAAAGTATGGAGGAAGGTTCGAGCCCGTCGGTGGCTACAAACCAAGGGGTGTAGGGATGTCTGGGTACACCCCTGCAGTTAGACAAATGGAGGTGGGGCCTCTTGGTAGGCCGTTGAGTTACGTGTATGTATTATTGGTTATGCTAATGTTTGTTTTGGTAGGGTCATTGTCGGGGGTATGATACAGGAGAGAGCGTAACGAAAGGAGTACTGTTGACAATGACCCTAAATTGTTAATTTATATATTGATATTAATTAATAAAGCTGTGAACTTTATACTCCAACAGAACTTTTGGTGTCTGCGTGTTATTAAAGTATGGTTGGCACATGCCGAATAACGACTGTGCAATAATGTCAAGAATTCTGGTGTTGAATCTGCAAACTACAGCGATTATTTTTGTGGGTGCTATACTACATTTTTGTACCCTGCCCTGAGCCCAGTGCCACAGAGAAATAAGCAATCAGTCTGTTTGTTAGGTGGGCACTTGCAACTGCATGTGTGCCAGGCACATTATTTTAATCCTGTTCTGGTAGCTCAGTGGGCAACATCTAGGCATTTTTAAATACTGCTGTGACACTGCAGTTTGACAAATTCAAATTTTTTTGGTGCTAAAAAGTAAATCTATGGCGTGCACGTAATATCTGAGAGTCAAATAGAACTGTCAAATACTGTGGTTACATCGCACTTTGAAAAATTCAAATTTTTTTGGTGCTAAAAAGTACATTTGGGGCGTGTACTTCATATCCGAGAGTCAAATAGAACCGTCATATACTGTGGTTACATCACACTTTGAAAAATTCAAATTTTTTTGGGTGCTAAAAAGTAAATTTGGGGCGTGCATTTTATATCCGAGAGTCAAATAGAACCGTCAAATACTGTGGTTACATCGCACTTTGAAAAATTCTAATTTTTTTGGTGCTAAAAAGTAAATTTGGGGCGTGCACTTCATATCTGAGAGGCAAATACTGTGGTTACATCGCACTTTAAAAAATTCATTAATTGTTGACTATTGGTGGTTACATTGTCGCCTGACATAAACCATCAGTTAGTTTGGGCCTGAGGCGAATAGCAGTTTGGCGCATGTCCTTCCACCACCGAGGATTGCAGGGCATTTCTCTTTGCCTCCTGTTGCCTCCTCCTCCTCCTCCACTTCCTCCTCCTCCTCTACCACCTTCTCATCCGTTCAGTGTAACACTTTCACCACCAACTTCAGCACAGCCAGGGGAAAACGACAGCAGGCTGTTTTAAAACTCATATGTTTGGGGGAAAAACCCCACACCCCGCAGGAGCTGTGGACGGGCCTGGAACAACAGACCGATGAGTGGTTGTTGCCACTGAGCCTCAAGCCCGGCCTGGGGGTGTGCGATAATGGGCGAAATCTCGTAGCAGCTCTGGGCCTAGCCGGTTTGAACGCACATCCCTTGCCTGGTGCATGTGCTGAATTTGGTGGTGCAGAAATTCCTGAAAAACTACCCAGATATATCAGAGCTGCTGCAGAAAGTGCGGGCTGTCTGTGCGCGCTTTTGGCATTCTCACCCTGCTGCTGCTCGCCTGTCTGCGCTGCAGCGTAACTTCGGCCTTCCCGCTCACCGCCTCATATGCGACGTGCCCACAAGGTGAAACTCCACCTTGCACATGCTGGAGAGACTGTGTGAGCAGCAACAGGCAATAGTGGAGTTTCAGCTGCAGCACGCACGGGTCAGTCGCTCTGCACCAGACTTGCCCTCCAATAGATCCTCGTTAAAGGATTTAAAGTGTACTTATTTCATTTACAGGGCCTCGAAACAGTCCTGTATTGTTATTTTTCGTCACTACCTCCCTGCGTCGGAAGTGGGTAATTTGCGTGCCTGCTGCCTTCCTTTGATGTTGTAGCCGTTTCTCAGGCTCCCTCTCTGGAATCGAACCCTGATTCCCCTTTACCCGTGGTCACCATGGTAAGCACAGAAAGTACCTTTGAAAGTTGATATGGCAGACATCCGAATGCGTCATTGCCGTCACGCGGACGTGTGATTGGCCCAAGGTTATCTAGAGTCACCAAAGTGCCTGCGCAATGACTGCCGAGTTGCCCACATTCTAACTTGTGCTGATTACTAGGTGGCCACCTTGTAAGTGTTATATAGTTTTTCGGCTGTCCCATTTGTCTACTCATCAGAAGGAACATCTGGAAGCTTCACAGTCCGGGCTGAGACTATATTGTGATATGCTGATTTTTACCAGAAATCTTGTGAGTGCAATCTAGAATAAATTATATTTATATTATTATATTGGCGCACTATGTTTGTGTCTCTCTGTTTAACTCCTCGTAAGGACGAAAGAGAAGAGGACTGAGCTCCTTTCGTCTGTAATGATCTATGTGCCTGCAGTCTTTTATTATCCTGTGAGTGCAATTCTTCTCAGCGCTTTTCTTGGTGACATTTATTCTACACAATTATCTGCTATTCCTCTTTGTCTCCATTTTTAGATTGTATTTTTTGTATATGTATGTGAAGAAGACCAAGGGATCTTCTTACAATCTATTTCTGCATTAGGGTAATTCTGCTTGCTTTATTCAACCCTCTCTCACTGTGGTGAGCACTTGTGTTATTTACATATATATATATATACACATATTTATATTAAAAGTGCTGCCTTGTGGTATGTAGAAGTCAATACTACAGATAGCTTTTAAGGATTATCGCAGCATATGAATTCTACATACTACAGGGTAGCGTGTGCTGCCAATCAACATGATGAAATTAAGTGTACCCAAGAAAACGTGGTGGATATGGAAAGTGAAGAGTTGTACAGGTTTTACGTTTTGTGAAACATAGTACACAGTCTAGAAACTGAAGAAAAAACAAACTAACCCAATTCTGTTTGCAGACATCATTTTGTAATTAGTGAAAAATGGGTTATTGCCAATAGACACAAGCAGTTCCTGTGTACACAATGGTTCAGAGACCCAGATATAATTTGATAATGTCTACGAGTTTTAATTGGACTTTAGCTTTTTGAGTGCTTGAAGAACGTGAACTGAATGTCCGTTTTCTCAAATAAATGTAGAAAAGTGTTTTAAAAGTTGGGTAAATTTTTATTCGCACAAATGATTTGCACGCTATACATTATGCAAGTGATCAGCTAGCAATGAAGCTGGTAGGGATGAACAGTGCAAGGATTACTAACACAACAGTTAATAATACAAATACTAAACAAAAAGAAAACATTGAGTCACGTCTTTTTTAGTGGAGCAATTTACTTGAAGGGGATGTTCCACAGTTAAAATTGTGCCTCACATTTTCTCTTTAACCCCTTAACGACACATGACATGTGTGACATGTCATGGTTCCCTTTTATTCCAGAAGTTTGGTCCTTAAGGGGTTAAACAGATAATGGGATAGATCATTAATTTAATTTAAGAGACACAGGTAAAAAAAAAAAGAGTTAAAAAAGACACACCACAGGGACAATATGACAGTGCTACATTTTAAGTCACTGGGATCTTCAGCATGGTCCATTGTACTGTCAATGTTTGTCTATTTAGATTTCACGCCCTAAATTGTATGCACTTGTCAGCAATGGGTGAGACTGAAACTCTTTACTCAGTAGTAGAGTGGTAGAGAGGTTTCCACATACTTTTGTCTATATACTGTGGATAATGCATTAAGAATGCTAAAAAAGTAGGAAAAAATTCAATATTCCAGTAGGGACATAAACAGCATATGCACACTTTACAAATATTTTGCCAGCAGACAAGTTAAGCATAGCTCATCTGAGACAAAACATGCTGCACTTATCAGTATGCAAGGAGATAGGGACAGGTCACATTCTTTGACCAAGAAACATAAATTGATATGGCGCCTTAACCGTCTTTACAAACTACTGACTGTTCCATTGTTCCATGCAGACAATATTTTTGTTCAATGAACAGAAAGCTGTGAAGTTGCTTTCTATATATATCAGTCATAAATCATTATGTCTAGAAATAAACTAATGGACTGTTGGAATTAAATAAGCAGATTATAATATCAGAAGACAATGCCAGAACAGAAAGTTAATGTAGTTTAGTTTAGCTGACGTTTTAGCTTTATTTATAATGCTGGGCTGCGAATTTGCTTGTGTAGATTTAAAGTCTCCCCTGTTAAAACGACACTCCACACCCTAAAGGAGGGATAAGCAACTTTCAGCACTTCTAATATTCAGGACTACATTAGGAGCCTGATGCTTTGCCAGTGTTATAGCCGTTAGAGCATTATGGAATATATAGCCCATAACACCAGGAGTGCTGAAGGTTGCCTATGCCTGCCCTAGAGCCTTAGCAGGTTGCTGTGTGCCCCTTTGTACCAATTCATAAAAGGGCAGATTTCTCTTGAATTCATTATTGAATTCATTGAAGAATACCCTACTAGCAGTCACGTTGACAGACAGGAAGGCATCTTGGTTCACTCCGCTTGAACAATCTCATTCAGGCATAGGTGAGAGCTTCCATAGACAAGCATTAGTCTAATAATTTAAGAAATAAATTCAGACTCTCCAAGCTTTATTGGAATAGTACTGCTACGAACAGTTTCCTAAATTGGACTGTCGCACAATGCTGCATTGTATGTTAGTGACGTAGCAAGCGGACAGTTTTATTCTCACTGTGGTGTGTAATGGTGTGATAAGGGCCTGATAATTCAAACAAATACAGCTGTGTATGTATAGGGAAGTGTCATGCTCACACTAACCTGCTATGCCAATGTGTGCATGTCTTTACAAGGCCATCTACATTGATCTGCTTTGTGTCAACAGCCTCTGGGGTGACTGTGCATATGACATCAGTGAGAGGCATCTTTAAAGTAAATAATGAAATACCACTTTTATGTTTAACACAGTGTGTTACAGTTATCACAGTATACTGAGACCTCATCTCTATTTTGCCATAGAGACACAACATTTTAACAATCCTAACAAAGATAACTAAAACAATAGGAAAACATAACATCATTTAAATTGTACAGTTTTACTTATGTTATAATTCATTAGTGCATTTGCATATATTTTATGAGGGGACAAGTTTAGAATATTTAAGATAGAGGAACTGTACTGGATTGATTTAATATGTGCACCTTTGGCATTTCAGATGATGTGGACTACATCTCCCCTGATGCTTTGCCAGTATTATGGCTGTAAGAATATTACTGGAGATGAAGTCAACAACATCTGCAGTGCCGAAGGTGGCCTACCCCAGACTTAGAACCATGGAAAGAAAATAGTGATAGACTGTCTGATGATGATGTCCATAAAAAAGTGTAAATTCCAACCTGCATATTGTGAAAGAAATAAAAAGCACAATAAGCTAATAAAAACAAACCGTTATCATTTAATTGGCTATTACAATTTACTGATATCTCCAAGTGACAGCCCTTGTTTAATAATGCTGCTAACCATCATATAGCCTCAGAGTCTATTATTTGTCATGCTGTCTTCCTAAACTCCTAAATGTTATGTCTTGAAATAAATATTATGGTTAAGAGGTCAACATCAACTATTATTATGTTTCCTGTTGTATTGGTGTTGGCTTTGAAATATAAAACAACAATAAGGACAATGCTGTTTTAGAAATAGCATGTCACTTTTTTTTTATTTTTATAAGCCATGAGTCTACTGTGCTCGCTGTACTGATTGAAGTCCAGCAGTTTACATTGTGCTGTAGTTTTATGTGTACTTAAAGGGACAGTATAGTCACCAGAAAAAACTTTAGCTTAATGAAGCAGTTTTGGTGTATAGATTATGCCCCTGCAGTCCCACTGCTCAATCTGCCATTTAGGAATTAAATTTATACCTCCCTGCATGTGACTCACACAGCCTTCCTAAAAACTTCCTGTAAGAGTCATCTAATGTTTACATTTCCTTTACTGCAAATTATGTTTAATTTAGCATTTCTTATGTCCTGCTCTGTTAATAGAGTGCTGGTCCTTGCAAGAGCCTCCTGGGTGTGATAAAAGTAAAATTTACAGAGCAGGGCATACAAAACTTTTAAGGTAAGTTTCATCTGATTGAAAATTAAACCATTTTGTTTTCATGCAGGCTGTGTCAGTCACAGCCAGAGGAGGTGTAGCTAGGGTTCCATGGACAGAAAAAAAAAGATTTAACTCCTAAATGGCAGAGAATTGATCGGAGGCATGATCTACACACCAAAACTGCTACATTAAGCTACAGTTGTTTAAGTGACTATAGTGTGCCTAACTACCCTCAGCACTACACAAGTATGTTGAATGATACACTTGCATTGCGCTTGCTGGGAACAGTTCATTGGTATACCCAGAAGGAGGACAGATATAAACTGTGACAGGAAGAAGAGTGGTTGATCTAGATCACTACCACTAAGTTGTTTGTACCTTCTCTTCCAACTCCACAACCACATTTTTCCACAGGACAGACTGGTATTGACCACTCTGTCCAGTCAACCTCCTGAGCAGGTATCAACCCCTCTTCCTCCCAGTGTCAGTATCCATAACCTCTCAAACTTATAAGCCACATGTAGGCCACAATAAAATACAATACAATAAAATATAGTTGATACCAGGAGGAGGTATAATGAAACAGAAAATCAATAAGCAAGCTAATTTTGCTTGCATTTCACAAGATATGCAAATGTATGGAAATAGTATAGGATATATAAATATATATATATAATTGCAATCAAGCTTCAGCTGATAGTTGGCACTGCACCAAACAAGGTCCATGGAATCCCGCTTGCAAGCATAACTCCACTCACCAGGACTCTCATTCTTCCATTCGTACTGCCAACATTTGGACCAGGGGTAATAAAATGGGAGCTGGAGCAAAATGTCAAAACTGGTGCAAATCAATGAAGCCACACCATATTCCAGTTTCTGAAATTGCCAGATTCAGGACGGAAAAGGGGGAATGCTTAAGTTTAGATTATTATTATTGCCATTTATATAGCGCCAACAGATTCCGTAGCGCTTTACAATATTTTGAGAGGGGGGATGTAACAATAAATAGGACTATTACAAGAAAACTTACAGGAACAATAGGTTGAAGAGGACCCTGCTCAAACGAGCTTACAGACTATAGGAGGTGGGGTATTAGAAACATTAGGACAGGAAATATCAAGTAGAAGTGAAGCAGAGCTGAAGGAGAGAGCAAAGCACTGTCCCATAGGAGAGAGCAAGAGACAGATATGTAAGGTAGAGATTACTCTGGCAGGCCATATGCTTTCCTGAAGAGATGGGTTTTA